GGCAACGGCAATGGCAATGGCAGCAGCAGTGACAGCGGTAAAAACAATAATAGCTGAAGAGTAAGACGAAAGCGAAAATAAGATCGAAATTCATTTTAAATGATTTCTTAGTCTTATGTCAGCCAATGGAAATGTTCATCGAATCGTATGCTTAGGGAAGAACAGCAAGTCAAGGCTCGTATCTAAGCAACACATGTAAATCAACGTATGTAAGCATATTTACATTCATTGTTCGATACGTAAAGCTACTCATTTATTTTAATTAATTAAATTAATTTATGAAATCAATAAACCAAAGATTCCATCATATAAAAATCACTTACAGGATGTAAAAATAATAATAGCAACAACACTACAAGAACGTCAAGAATATTTAGTAAATATTTTTACAGTTTCTTAACTGTGGGCTACTGTTGTCTCTTGTCTCTTACATAAGTACTCTCCTCTATAGAAATACATATGTATACTTATATATATATATATTTGCGTGTATGCGTGTACGATATACATATTCCACGAATTCCTTGAACCCAATGTATAAAAGACGATACCAAACGGAAAAACAACAAAAATTGTAATACTGACTAAATAAAAAGAAGAAAGAAAAAAAAAAAAACAAAAAACAAAAAACAAAAAAACAAAACAAAACAAAACATGCAGATGTTCACGGAAAACTAAAAAATTAAAAAAATACGCGAAGCAATCATGCATACATACACGCATACAACCACATAGTTATTAACGATCAGTTGAATACATACATACATATATATGTACGTACGTACATACATACATATATAAACATAAAATTCATATCAAATTGAGAAGCAAGCAACAAAGAAAAATGCTATTGTTTGGATTGTGTGCGAATGAGACAAGCGCGGGAATGGATAGATGAACGCACATGCACAGACAAACGAAAAGGCAGACAGACAAAATTGATATAAAATAATGAAAACAAAAAAAAAAAAAAAACCAACCAACAACTGAAATAAAACAAAACTCGCACAAACACAATACTTGAAAAAAAAAGGAGGCAGATGGACAAATAAACTGGTACATATAACATATTTGTGGATATAAATGTATGCACACACATGCATATAAGTTATTATGTTAACCTTAACACAAAGCATATCCATGCGTACACACATATGTATACAGAAATAAACAAACGCATACATACATAAATATATATATATATATATATCTGTACATCTATAGTTTCCCATATATGCCACATGCATGCATGCATGCATAGATCAATGAATGTCTAGATGTCTGTGTGTGTGTGTGTGTGTGTGTGTGTGTGTTTTTGCGTTTGATTATGTATTTGTTTTTAAGTGGATAAGAATTATATTTCGGTGAAATACGCATATTTTATGTTTGACCGGTCTCTCACATATTCTCACCGTTCCCTTTTCTGCTTATTCACTTTAGATAAGAGCAAGCATTTACGTGTGTTGCCGTAATGAAAATAAATAATTTTTGTTTTTTTACATTGGATACTGCACCTGAATGAAAAATGTTAAGAAAAATATTATGTTTTGTCCTCCTCCTATATCATGCACCGTTAAAACTGATGCAGGCAAAGTACACGCATTAACTTTATCATCCCTCTTGTAACACCTTGCGATGTAACGGACAATCAATTCTATATAGTATAGCTCGATCAATCAATCAATCTGAATATGATTAATACTCGATAAATCTAAGAGTCATTTTTTTTCTCTCTCGCTCTATCTCACTCTGTCTCTCTCTCTCTCTTTCTTTCTTTCTTTCTTTCTGTCTCACGTTTTCCGTATCTCTTTCGGTTTTTGCGAAATTCAGAACTTTATTCCGATCTAATGCGATATATGTCCCTGCATTTACTAGCTAACGAGCAAATATTTTAATATCATTGATGGAGAGAGTTGTTTAGTAGTCAGGCCTGCGTTAGACTTTATCGAAGAGTAACAAAAAAAGATAACTTAAACGGTGTCTTTTTCTATTGGTGTTGAGATTTTTATTTTTTTATTATTTTATTTATTTATTTTTTTTTTTTGTGACTCCAAAGAGAGAATGGTTACTGTCGTTAATTTGCTTAGTTATTCATTGATGACATATTGTTTTTATGAATGAACCGTTCGAATGAGCTAGCGCTCGACTTGTTTCGCTTCGTATTCGTAAACACTGATATGTTACGAGGAACGTCGCCACATTAGTTAAAGAGCATTTTCTTTCATTTACTTATTTATTCATTCCTCTTTGATATATTTTGTTACTCTTGTAAATCCTGTGCAGGTGTTCTTAGTTTTAGAATTCGATAACTGTTCTATTTTTTTATTTATTTTTTTTTTTATAATCAAAAATTCCGATAACTTTCGGTTTAATGACCTTTTGCTCAAAAAAAAAAAAAAAAAAAAAAATTACAAAAATTTATTTTCGATCATCGTGCAAACATATATACTTGATGACTTCGTTGATAGCAGAACGTATTCCTTTTCTTTTTTTTTTGCCTTTCAAATCTCTTCGTACTATAGAGCAAGAAGCAATTTTATGAACAAAAGTGGAAAAGTGTATAAACAAAAAGAAAACATAAGAACTAATTTAAAATGGTTTGAAGGAATTCTTTTTGACTTCTATTGCACGTTGTCGTTATCAGGCTCTTCATTTTTTATCAGCTTTACTCCTCCATTCTTTAGTAATTGTCCCAAGGATATGAATCTTTTGTGCAACAAAGTGGTCTTATTACAACAGTTTTAGCGTGAAATTGCTTTTGATTGATGATGAAAAATATGTATACTTAAGGAAGAAACTGTGCGGCATTGTAAATAAACAAAGTGAAGCGAAGAAAGCTTGCAGCGGTAATTGCTCAGCGGAATGCTCACCCAAGCCAAACATGTACATAAATCGTTTCTATATTTTTTCTATTCCCCTTTGCATCGATTAGTAAGTATAACTATGGGAACTATGCGTCCAGCACACCTTACAAATCTGTTGCACACTATTGTATATATATATATAGTAGTGACGCTCAACTTTATTTAGAGAGTGCATTAATTTTACGAGATTTCCGAAAGATGATATAACTGGAACTGCATCGCGCTGAATAGTCCATACTTCTGCTCGAACTATCACTCTGATTGGTTACACTGCCATATAATATTATCTCGCTAACGTATAAAGGATAATATTGAATTTCTACGGCCTAATTTAATAAACGCACTGTACACTTCATATAACTATTGTATTGTGTTGTGCTGGAACCGTGAAGTGAAGTGAAGTTTATTTAGAAAATCTATTAAAAAGCTGTGCATTTGATGTTAGACATATCGAAGTGTCACATTACAGTGCTGACATATGCGTGTCAAGGCACAAAAGAAGTGCGAATCAGTTCCACTCACGTTCTCTTTGCTTGCTTTGTTTGTCTATTTCGCGGTGTTAAGCTAATATCTCACTAAATAGATTACATACAGATGTGAAATGACTATTGACGCATAGATAGGATTTTCAGTTAGTATCACGACGAAATGCATCGAAATTTCATGATATTCCGGTCACTACAAGCCTACAAGTTAGAGTTGTTTAGTATAGTAACGCCATACATGAAACTTAGATTTTTTCATTATTTCAAAAGGACACAGTTAGCGAGAAATGTTAGGAGGAAAGTTAAATGCGTCTAATGACGGAGGCTAAAAGCCATTGATCGCTATTGGCGATGCAAAATGAATATGCTTTGGATGAGACCGGAATAAACTTTGCCCTGGATAACAAAATCGTATATATTTGACTTCAAGCTTATGGTGTATAGTTAGTTGATGGAGCCGGACGGACGTACCAGGTGTGTAAATTCGAAACCGGAATATTGTAAAATCGGTTTGCGATACATTGCAAGCACTCAACGAAAAAGCGCTGATCGATGCGAGTATTTCATTAGGCATCGATGGGCCACGCACTTGTTAAGCAAGATTTTGATTCGAGAAAATCGCTCAATAAATGGTTAGCAGCAAAAATGTAGGCCTGGCATTCATAAATGATCAGATAGATGGGAAATATATAGCTATATATATATATATATATATATATAGCTAACGATGGATAATACCTCGATCGTAATATTTTTACATACATATGCTGTTCACAATGAAACAAAAACGCTGCTACTCACTACTATCTACAGCAATTGATGTGTTTGAGCCGAGAATTGAATGAAATGGCTGTTAGCGGGATGCTTCAGCATCAGACATATTTTGCAATATTTGATAGAGGAACCATGAAGGTGAACATTGAAAAGGAATACGCTGCTCTATTGCAACTCCTCTTTTTGCCACTAACGGCTGAACAGAGTAGGGCTTCACAATATGAATTTGCTCGTGGATAGCTTAAGAGACTACACTTTTTTTCAACATTCAAAGTTCGTATGATGAGAGGAAGATCGGAAAAAGTAATAACTAACAATGGAAAATATTTTCAATAATATCTGCCAAGCGATTTATTTTAATCATAAGCGTTCAATTTTATTCCAAAGTTAAGAATCAACGCGAAAGTTTCAATATTTGCCGGAACTTGATTGTCTGTTTACCATTTTCTATAAGTTTTTCCTTTTAAAGTAATTTGAAGCACGATATGTAGATATGGAAATGAGATCATAATGTGATAACCAATTATTTTTCACAAAATCTATAAGCAATTATTTAATTCATAGTAAATGATTCCAAAAAAAAATTCCACATCATATTCAAAATAAAATTTTCACCTCACTACACATTCGAGTTCGTGATCGTGTTCGTTTTCGTGTTCGATGTACTTGCCATTCTAAGTAATAATTTGAAAAGTTCCATTGGAAGGCCCTATAACTCCGGGTTAACAAGTAGGCAATTGACAAATAAAATTTTTTGAGGACATTGCAAAAAGTGATATGATTATGATAGCAAATGTGGTAGTCTTCGTCCGCAACCCTTTCCCAATAAGTTCATGTATTTCGTAGTCTTTGATAGCTTCTCGTGCTTTTCAACGTATGGAAGGAGAAGTATGTGGCCGCAAGAACATTTTCTGAAAACGAGAAGTAACATATACCCACACACATGTACACATTGATGTGGATGCCGATTATTAATCAATATATAGAATAATTATCAATATTTAAATACATATAAATACATACATAAATAAACATCAATGCGATATATTATCTATGTCATGTTTTCGCGATAATGTTATCTGCATTAACTTTGCCAGAAACGTCCTGGTGCGGTGAGTTTTCTTAAGGTTTTTTCCTCTTTTTTCTTCCCTTTTTGCTCGACTTTAACTTTGTTTTTCTCGACTCTATTTTGAAGTACATACATAAGCATATTCGTACAATACCGGCTTGTCTTCATAGTTATGGTTACAGGATTAAACGACCGCACGTGAACATTTTGAAAAGCAATAATCATAATACACATACACATATTTACAAATAATATATGTGTATATATATATGCCTTACATATACATATACACCTTGTTTTCAATAAATCTTCTGCGAGAGAAAAAACTCTTGAACTGAAAAATGTTCCATCTTTGCGTTTTATGGGCCGTGATTCCCCCCGTAGAGAAAGCGCGACTTGAGATAATCAGATAGCATAAACCGACAGTGTATCCTGTGCAATCTGCTATGTCGGTATAAGACATAGGGTGAAAAGCTAAATTTATCGAAAAATCGTTTTCGTTCCTATAGCCGAAAACCTATACTAGGATGATGGTTTTCGATGATGATTTTAGGTTTCTGCATATATTTCATTAAAATAATTAAAAAAAAAAAAAGAAATCAGTTAATGAAATAATAAGTTTCGAAAGAGTGAAACAATTTTTTTTATTATTTCCTCATATAACGTGATCCATTTTTCACTTGTTTCTATGGATGCATGACTACATATTTATTGGCAATCATGCAGCCAATACGTTCTACGAGTGTATCCTTTGCACTTTCAACCATTCTGAATACGTACGTGCAGTTCTTGTTGCTGCTGCTGCTGAATAAATGTAAACTTACAGCAAACATATATATATATATGTATATTGGAGCTTTTGTACGTTAGTGTTTACATGTGTATGTGTATTTATTTGTGTGTGTGTTTGTATATATATATATGTGTGTGTGGGTGTGTGTGTGTGTTTGTGTTTGCATACTACACGATATCATTTCATACTTCAAATTGATAACTAAATACGGTTTTTTAAGCATTTGCACGTCTCGCATATTTACTTTGATACACTATGCGCATATATATCATCATCATATACATTAATTTGTGTATGTATGATATGTATCAAATGCATACACCCACAGACAAGGTGTATATATGCCATAAATACAATTTATAAAAATCGAGCGAACGTATATATTGTTTGAAAACGATTCCACTTTTGAATGTCTATGTGTTAGTGTAGTATACTTGGCTCCCTTACAATTTGATCCTGGCTGCATAAGCCAAACAACAAGCCAACGAGCTATCCAACCAACTCGTTATCCATCCGTTTGGCTGACAGCCCTAAGCACACATGTATATATATATATATATATATATATATATATATATATATATATATATCTCCATACACGTATGAACGTATGTATGTCTGCATACAAAACAGTTTGTTGAATGTGAAGTGCATTGCTCCTCTTAAATGAAAGAAAGAAACGTTCGTGACACACTGCACTCTCCTTCTTCTGGTTTTCTCTGCTTCTTTTGCTTTGCTTTTTCCTCTTCTTCTTCTTCTTCTTTTTCTTATTGTTATTGTTATCCTTCGAGCAAGAAATGAAAAAAAAGAGAACATTTTTTTCATTATTTTATTGGCATTCCTTTCGTTTTCTCTTACATTTAAATGCATACTAGCTTTGCTATATACACAGCATACACATACATACATATATATATATATATATTTCGTATTTTTTTTTTTTTTTTTTTTTTTTTTTTTTTTTTTACCTGCTTTTTTTTATTTTTTTTTTTTTTTTTTTTTTTGTTAAAGAAATCTTTTATAGAAGAATAAATGTAAAATGGAAAAACTGTAATAAGAACTTGAGATAACATCAAGTATCAGAATTTGTTTGCTATAAATTCATAGGCACATCGCACGTATATGCATACGAATAGATGTGTGTATGGTCTAGAGGACTATATATTTTGAGAAGCCTTCACAAAAAAAAAAAAACAACAACAACAACAAAATGTAGGGAACATATAAAAGAAAGCGGCAGTATCATCAAAACGAAATCTGGCTCGGATATGAAAAAGGCAACAACACTATTATTTGTCTTTCTTCGTAGACGAAATGTCTTAGATTTACATATACATATATATATATATATATATATATACATATATATTAAAGATGTCCTAACAGATTTCCTTAAAATTGTAAAGTTTTTTTAAAAGAAAAAAGAGAAGAAGAAAAAAACTTTACTGCAACGCTTTTATTTGTCATTTCCTATGAAAAGGACTTAATGGAAACTTTACAATTAAGAGACTTAATAGGCTTTACGTTCGATTTATCAAACGGGCGAAAATTTTTCAAACCTGAAGGGCCGTAGAATATAAGCATATACACTCTTCTCAATTCTATTATAATCTTTTATATACGGTATAAAAACTCGGTAATAATAAAAAACACACACACACACACACACACACATATATATATATATATATATATACATATAAAATACATTTAAGATTTTATTTTTGCTTATTTTTTGATTTAAAAAAGAAAGAGAAGGAAATATTTTTTTTTCTTTTCCGACTTTTATATAATAATCTCATCTTTTTATTTTTCATTCTGTTTTATTTCCAGGAACCTAAGTCGAAACAAGTACGTATTCAATTTTATTTTAATATTTACATATTTTCATTTTGTTCATACTGCGCGTGCCCATCGTCGTCTAATCGAAATGTTCTATGATCGATATATTTATCATGCAAGAATCAAATTTCTTAATGATTGAAGAGAAAAAGTTAAGGACACACCTTCAGCGTTAGTAACAGTTTTAATTCTTATTTCAAGCTTTATTTTTCATTATACTAGTACTACTACTACTACTACTACTACTACTACTACGACTACTACTACTGCTCCATCGAAAGCATTGAAATAAGAATAAGTTGTGCAAGCAATTTGCCGTAATTAAATTCAAAAGTGACAATCGCCTAACGACACCCTATCACATCTTTGAGAATGCATTTAATGTTATGGCATTTGTGTCGATTAGTGTTAAGAAAGGGACGAGGGCCAGTCTTGCTTTTAAAAAATATATGCAATTCAATCTAATTATAATAATTACTTATGTATGCGTATTTTTACATGTATTTGTATATATATATATAGCATATCTTATAATGCGGCTTGAAATGTTCGTACATTTGGGAAAGCAGGTGCTTTTTGTCTTTTCTTTAGAATGTTGTAAAAAATTTGTAAGATCTCTACATAAACTTGAACTCATATGGATGCATGACTGGGTTCTAGCATGGATGAATGAATGGTTGTTTCGTTAGTTGGTTGGTTGGTTGGTTGGTTGGTTGGTTGGTTGGCTGGCTGGTTGGTTGTTTGATTGCTTGGCTCCTAATGTTTTTCGCACTTGGTTCACTAACCTTCCTGGAATATATGGTAGGGTTTACCATGAGATTTACAGCTTAACAAAAGCATAAAATACAGAATAATAACAATAATAATAATAATAATAATAATAATAATAAGGATAAGAGTATTTATAAAAAGAATATAAAAAAAAATATATATAAAGAAAAAACAACAATAACAATAACAAGCACACGAGCACACCAGCATTTATATCTATTACATTAAAAAATGTGCATATGGATGCAAAGCATTGACACAACGCACACATACAAATATTTACAAGGTTGTAAATATATATATATTTTCTTGTGTGTAGCAACACATTCGCTTATCATAAATAAAAACTCTGCTTTCGTATTATTATTATTATTATTATTATTGTTGTTATTATTATGTTTTATTTATTTATTTTTTCATTTATATATACGTATATGTATTAGTGTGTAACGTCATAAACGTAAATGCTTCTTTATTAGCATTTCGGATCAAACAAATAACAAAATGTTTATGCACATATCGCTGCATATATGTGTATGTACGTCTGCGTAGATCGATTGTGACATACAATGTTTAATACGTGACTGGTTGCTACGGGCTGCTGCTGGCTGTTTAATGCAACAACTCATTAAAATGCAGTTGTTGGTGGATTTTTTGTTGTTTGTTTTGCGCTCTTTTCACGCTAACGGAAAGTGTAGAAATTCACAACGATATATGTATTACCGTAAATTAAATAATAAATCACTTATATGTGGATCTGCACAATTTTATTTAAGTATACATAGACATACATACATATATATATACATACATACATACATACATATACACGCGCATACCTACATATATATATATATTATATATATATATATATATATATATATATATAAGAAGGCACATCACATGCTTTATCACATTCATTCATTTAATGATTTTAATGCTGTACCGACACTGCTTTTTGTTGCTGTTACTCTTGCTGCCCGCTAATGCTGTTGATGCCGACTGACGACGATGGATGAAAATGGCAACCTTTCATTTAGAAAACTAACTGTAACACTAAAATAGTTCATAACTATCATTCATTGACAGAATTTACATAGTCTGCGCGTGTGTTATTGACCATACCATGCCATACCATGCCTTACCATACCATACCATACTATACCACACCACACCACACCACACCACACCACACCATACTATACTGTATACCATCTACATTCAGTGTGCACGTCTGTCTATCCATCATTCTTATATATTCACATATGTGAAATATGTGCCCATTATTTATGCATATGTCTTCTGTTTATTAGTGAAAATGTGTCTACACATTTACATATACGTGAACATATCAACTATTTTTCAATTCATGTAAAATCATAATACATTTATATTTACATTAGACAGCTCCTTACATTATATGTATTCATAATTGAAAATATTCATCATTATATAGTTCATTGAATATATTTTTTCAAAAAATTCTTATTGTTACCTTAATTTACTAAATGAACTGATACTACGAAAGAAAGAAAGAAAGCAACAATACCTGAACCACTCTAATGTTGACAAAATATACGCTTGCAGACACACAGCACTGACCGATTGTTATGCGTTGTTATTAAATAATCATAATTTGTGACATCCTTTTTAGGGTTTGATTGAAATCGTTAAGCATTCTGCAGAGATGAGCAAATTTTTATTGTACTAACAGCATTCAACGGAAAACAGTTTCGTAATTGACAAAAAAGAAAACATTTTTTTTTCCTTTTTTTTTTTTTTTTTTTTTGTTATTTTCAATCATGAAATCTTCCCATAAAGAGATTTTTACAAAAATTTCAATAAACTTAGTCTGAGAAATTTATAGATTAATTAAACAAAAACTCATATCAACAATTTCTTAAATATATCTTCACGGAATTACTTTTCGCATCCGACCAATAAGAAAGCCGTACGACGAAACAAAACCTCTGATGCACTACAACTGCATCAGTCGCCCGTTAAATGTAGCACATGTCAATGCGCTCTATCGAGCAGTGTCTGCATAAACACCTTTTTCATAACTAATTTTATAAAACAGTTTTGACTTGACACAGATATTATATATTTTTGGACTTGTTTCAGTAATTTCACTATTATAGGCGTATCCTTCAATTCATTGAAAAATAACCTAAACCTTTTATTACGATTTATATCGTCTTTGCGATCATTCATGCAAACATGACAACATCGACTCAGAATCGCATGCTTATCGGTTTAGCTTTACGGTGCTTCCGGCAGTTATTTTTCATTACGTAAGCTACAAACTCAGTTGGACAAAAGTCTAACATTTCGGATATTCGTCTTTACATATAATAAATTTCTTATACTTTTACTTGTCTGCACAAGAGTCGTACTCATCGATGATCACATAGACAACTATGCAACGGATGCTTACTTGAAACCAATAATAAGGTATCCTTGTAATCTAAAAATTAGCTCAAAGTAAAACTAATCCCTAAATGCCGTAGTGTTCAGTCTTAATTGTCTTAAGAAAGATAATGCGCTCTCTAGTCCTTGTAAAATTACATTGCATTCCTCATACCTGAATTTGTATATTTGAGGAACGTAAAAAACGCCTGAACGGTTAAAACCCCTTTTCGTAACGTGTTACAAGTTATTCGTGATCACAGAATCGTTTTCGTTTATTTATTCAAGCTTCTTAACTAGCAGGCGTAAACCCGAACATTATATATATCGACTAACCCAGACCACGATATATGACATTTCTCATCGTCGCTATGGTTGTTCGTTGACTTCTTCTCTCATCCTTGAAATGTAGAGAGAGATCTATTCTTGAGAACTGTTGAAAAGTGGCGGGCACCTATGGTGGCTGCAAAGTAAATATATTTTCACTCTCACGTAATACAGCTAAGATATATAGACAACTTTCTCATAGTGACCAAAATTGTAGTGTTCGCTTCGCCTTGTCGTCCCCACGTATTAATAATTTAATCGCAACAGGTTTCGCTATAAGCAAATGCTCTTAAATATCTTTCATATATATATGTATATATATATATATGTATATATATATACTATATATATATGTATATATATATATATATATTTTTTAATATTTTAGCCATTGAAGAGACCCCTTAAACAGATCACGGTCAATTGTGCGTCCGTTATGTCTGTCGACAAGACCAAGGATTAAGCATAAAATTTTCAACTACGCGAATATTAATAAGAGATAGGTCAGCATATGAACACAAGACCATATTTGTCTGATCCGGCATCTTAGTGGTCGAAAGACAAAATTCGTTTCCCTTCAGCCTAAATTTGCTTTTTTGGATCATCCGCTCAAAAATGATCGAAATTCTCAGCAAATCCTTTAACATCTCTGCGATTGCTAACTAGAAATTTACGCTTATACTTTCAAAATGTTTCTATAAAAAATTGCTTTTACGCTTCTCTGGTGTATAATCAAAGATCTTTGCACAAAAGTTTTTTACTTGAATAATAAAAACAGTCAATGAAAGTCGACATGTTTGTGTTTTTTTTTTTTTTTTTTTTTCTTGTTTCTTTAAGCTTAGTCTTCTAGACTCAGGCTTCCAGAGCAATTATGGATTTTTTTAAAGTTTATTTTCAGCTCAGTTGTGACGTTTTTGTACCTCTTGTTTTGCCAACTTTATGCAGGGAAAAAAAAAAAAAAAACGGAGAAAACAGAAATTAAGTTACACTGAAACAAAAACACCCAAAAGACAACTCATTGCAATATCATCCCTTAGCAATGCAAATCGAATAAAAGATTAAAAAAAAAAAACGATTTGGAAAAAATAAACCAACTTCCCTTCTTTTTCATTTATTTGTCTTTTCTTTCTTTCTTTTACATTTTCTGTTGTATTTTATTTATTTATTTTTTTTTTGGTTTTTTTTTTTTTTGCTCTTCATCTTCTTCTTTTTTGCCGTTTAATGTGAAACAAACATCAGTTTTGTAGAAAGTCAGCGCAACAGCAACAACACTAAAAGCACAGCCCAAGGGTAGTTTTGGCCAAAGCTAAAACACAACATCATCACATCATATCACAACGAACTGTAAAAAGTTGTTATATAAAACGCGCAAAATAAAAAGTCGAAAGTGAAAAAAAACAAAAAAAAAAAAAAACATAAAAAAATGAACGCAAAATACATGCACACAATACAATAATTAAATGCAGAAATGACGAGAGAAAAATTGGGCAACAAATAAATTA